ATACTATTAATTTTATAGAATGTCATGTCAACAACAAAGATGGAGGGAAATGATCCTAATGATTGAATACATTTTGCCTAGCGTTGAAACCTAGCTACATGTAGCTAGTGAATATGAGTTGAGCCAAAATGCCTAATCATATGCCTAGTGCATTGGAATTGAAAAAAGTGAATCATACTAGGCATTTTAACTAACAAGTATTAGAGCATCTCCAATGCACTAGGCATATAATACTTGTTAGTTAAAATGCCTAGTATGATTCACTTTTTTCAATTCCAATGCACTAGGCATATGATTAGGCATTTTGGCTCAACTCATATTCACTAGCTACATGTAGCTAGCCTTCAACGCTAGGCAAAATGTATTCAATCATTAGGATCATTTCCCTCCATCTTTGTTGTTGCCATGGCATTCTATAAAATTAATAGTATTTGGATAAATAGCTAAAATAAAGAGCATGGTTGGAGTAAAAACATAAAATAGTTGATAGGCAAAATAAAATATATACTTTATAGTAATATTTAGATAGGTAAAATGCCTACTACCGTTAGAGATGCTCTTATATGCCTAGTGCATTGGAGATGCTCTTATCACCAAATAATTTTTCTATAAATAAAAAAAAAAACCCTAGAAAATGACAAGAAAACTATAAATCCAAAAATAAAAGGCAGGTGTGAAAAAAAAAGGGCCATGCATGTCTTAAACAAGGGTTATAGATAATTTATTATCTAAATTAATATTAATTATCAAATTAAAATCAATTATAATTGCTTTAGTTACGAGGAGAAATCATTTATGTCTTAAAATCATATCTTAGTTATTACCGTGATTAATAATTTAAATTTATTTTTAAAAAGGTAAATTATTGATAAATCTTATTTAGAAGTATTTTAACTCAAGAAATCCGTGAAGGAATATTTTAACTCATTTAGTCCCATGTATGTATAGTTTTATTCCATAAAATCCTTTTTCTTAATTTACATTATTTTTTTAGACACTTATGCCCTTATATTTAATTTTGATACCCTTATAAATATTTTTTGAACGGTTAGCAATTTTATGATGTAAACATTCATATTTTAAAATTCACATTGGTAGGAATGTAAAATTGGCTCGTGGGCGGCCCGAAACCCCCCCGCGAGCCGGGGCGGGCCCGGCCCTTCATTGATACCTAAATTCACATTGACATGTTAACATTCACATTGATAGGAGTGTAAAAATAGCCCGGGCCTCGTGGCTGCCCGAAACCCGTCCATGGCCCATGAGGGGCCCGGGGCAGGCCCGGCCCGGCCCGGTCTGTTGACAATGTGAATGTTCACATTGACATGTTAACATTCATATTGAAAAGAGTATAAAATTGGCCCCGCATCCCATGGGCGGCCAAAAGCCCGCCTGCCGCCCGGAGCGGGCCCGCCCCGACCCGTTAACAATGTGATATTCACATTGACATGTTAACATTTATATTAATAGGAGTGTAAAATTAGCTCGCGCCTCGTGGCTGCCCAAAACCCGCCCATGGGCGGTCTGGGGCGGGCTCGGCCTGGCCTGTTGACAATGTGAATATTCACATTGACATGTTGACATTCACATTGATAAGAGTATAAAATTGGCCAGCGGCCCAGGGCGGGCCCGACCCGGCCCGTTGACAATGTGAATATTTACATTGACATGTTAACATTCACATTGATAAGAGTGTAAAATTGGCCCACAGCTCGTGGGCGGCCCGAAGCCCGACCGCAGTTTGAGACGGGCTTGGCCTGACCCGTGACAATGTGAATATTCACATTGACATGTTAATATTAACATTGATATGAGTGTAAAATTTGCCCGCTGCCCGAAGCTTGCCCGCGGCTCGGGGTAGGCCCAACCCGGCCCGTTGACAATGTGAATATTCACATTGACATGTTAAAATGCACATTGATAGGAATGTAGAATTGGCCCGCGGCCTGTGGGCTGCCCGAAGCCCACCCACGGCCCGGGGCAGGCTCGTTTCAGTCCGGGCCCGAGCATGTCCGAGACTCTAGGTTAGGGCCTAGGTCATCACTTTGAAGCCCGGTCCGACCCGGCCCATCGGCCCGCTTAAGGCCCATTCAAGGCTCGGTCCGAGGCCTAGCCCGCCGGAGGCGCAATGTATTTTTTTTGTGAAAAATAATAAAATTTTGGTAGAAAAAATTAAAAAGAATTAATAAAAAATAGCCAGGCCCGCCCAAGCCCGACCTAAGCTCGAGGCTGAGCCCAAACCCACTGGCCCGACCCAAGGTTTGATCCATCGGCCCATCCAAAACCCGAATACCCTTGTGCCAGGGCTAGGGCCTGGGCCTAATTTTTTGGCCCGTGGACCGGCCCGGGAAAGGCTCGTTTGGGCCCAAGCTCGAGCCTAGTCCGAGACCCTAGGCTAGGGCCTGGGCCATCACTTTGAAGTCCAGCCCGGCCCATCGGCTCGGTCCGAGACCTAGTGTCTTTTTTTGTGGAAAATAATAAAATTTTGATAGAAAAAATTAAAAAGAATTAAAAAAAATGGTCAGGCCTGCCCCGGGCCACCCACAGGCCATGGGAGGGTTTCGGGCAGTCACGAGGCACGGGCTAATTTTACACTCCTATCAATGTGAATGTTAACATGTCAATGTGAATATTCACATTGTCAACGGGCCGGGTCAGGCCCGCCCTGGGCCGCTGGCCAATTTTATACTCTTATCAATGTGAATGTTAACATGTCAATGTGAATATTCATATTGTCAACAGGGCGGGGCGGGTCAGCCCTGGGCCGTGGGCAGGTTTTGGGCAGCCACGAGGCGCGGGCTAATTTTACACTCCTATCAATGTGAATGTTAACATGTCAATGTGAATATTTACATTGTCAACGGGCCGGGCCGAGCCAGGCCCGTCCCGGGCCGTGGACGGGCTTTTGGTCGCCCATGGGCCGCGGACCAATTTTACACTCTTATCAATGTGAATATTCACATTGTCAACGGGCTGGATCGGGCCCCGCCCCGGGCTACCCATGGGCCGCGGGCGGGTTTCGCCCCACCACAGGACGCAGACTAATTTTACACTCCTATTAATGTGAATGTTAACATGTCAATGTGAATATTCACATTGTCAATAGGCCGGGCCCGCCCCGGTCCGACTTGAATTTTTCCGGGCACCCACGAGGATCGACATAGGCCGGGCTCTTACACATTGACGATATGAACATTCATATTGACGGTGTGAACATTCATATTAGGGGTATTTTGGTAATTATGTCACCCATAGAACTTATTGAAACATAAGAAAATAATGTGAACTAAATGGAACATACATAGATGAAAAGGGTATTTTGGTCTTTTTATCTCAAATAGGACCTAATAGAATAGTCAAAAAGAATATGAATTGGATGGAATAAAATTATTAGAAAGTGAATTTATCAAAAAAACTTCCTTTTTAAAATCAAATGACCAAAAGTAAATATACATTTTTTAGATTTGGAATATCAAATAGTATTGTTTTATGGACTTGATAAGAAAAATTACAAAACAAAATAGAGTTGAAATCTTCATCCTTAAAAAAATTAACATACATGAATTAATATATTTTCATGAATTAATTTTTGAATAAATTATACTTGAAATTTTAATTCATATAATATTTAATCCCTATTATTCAATAATTTATTAGTTATATGTATTAAAAAATGACGTTGCCATTACTTTTATATGAAAATATATACTTATATATATATATATATATATTTTTTTTTTTCTTTATGTTTTTGCAATATCTTTGGCCTATTTAACCTTACAGGAAAAGAAATCATTGTAATTATTTTAAAATTATGGGATTTAATGTGTGTGCGTGTGTTTTTTTTAAATCTTAAGAGAAATAATATAATTTGAAAAATCGTATAGTATGTATATATCATATACACCTTTAGTTACGATCTTTGTGCTATTGATTATGATGTAAGTATGATTAATTATGACACATTATAATATTACTTATGATGTTAATATAATATCAATTGTAACTCCTGAATTATAATATTTATAACGATTAAACTCCCCCAATAACATAACTTGAGTATTTCCCTTCTTTATCCTATTTTTTTACGACATTTTCATTGAAAACACATGCAAACAATAATATACATTCAACATAAAATTGTGAAAAAAAGAATATGTACAAAAAATAAAAAATAAAATTGTGAAAAAAAGAATATGTACAAAAAATAAAAAATGTACCACCCTTCCAAGCTTCTTGACTGACAACACCCCCATTAAGGCTTGGTTTGGGAAGTAGGTTGACTTTTTGGTTTTTTGGTTTTTTTGGTTATTTTAGCCTGGATTAAAAAGCTTGGTTTGGGAAGGGCTTTTTGGCTTTTTGGCTTTTTTGACTTTTTTTGTGAGAGAAGAATGTAATGATTATAAGTTGGATGTGATGTTTTGTTTATTATGACTAAAATAACCTATTTTATTTTTTGTGACTAAAATATACTTATGATGTTAATATAATATCAATTATAACTCCTGAATTATAATATTTATAACGATTAAACTCCCCCAATAACATAACTTGAGTATTTCCCTTCTTTATCCTATTTTTTTACGACATTTTCATTGAAAACACATGCAAACAATAATATACATTCAACATAAAATTGTGAAAAAAAGAATATGTACAAAAAATAAAAAATGTACCACCCTTCCAAGCTTCTTGACTGACAACACCCCCATTAAGCCTCCGTTTGGGAAGTGAGTTGGCTTTTTGGCTTTATGGTTTTTTTGGCTATTTTAGCCTGGGTTAAAAAGCTTGGTTTGGGAAGGATTTTTTGACTTTTTGGCTTTTTTAACTTTTTTTGTGAGAGAAGAAAGTAATGATTATAGGTTGGATGTGATGTTTTATTTGTTATGACTAAAATAACCTATTTTATTTTTTGTGACTAAAATAGCCAAAAAAAACCTGAAAAAGCCCTTGCCAAACAGAGGCTAAATAATATAATTTCCCATCAAACAAACAAAGATCAAAGCAAACCACTTTCTTTTTCTTGTTGAGTTCTCTCAGCGGCAAAGTGAGTGTACGCTTGAAATCTCTCACACCCCGTTCAACTCGTGATCGTTCTTAGATTGATAAATATTGAATACCCATTAGGGTTTTGTGATCCATTTTTCTGTTTACTTACTAAACCTAACCAAATACACTCTGAATTTTCCAAGAAAGTAGTGAGAAAGAGCAAGAAAATGGCTTCAGGAAGCAGAGTAACGCATACTAATCACAAGCAATCTCAAGCTCAGTCTTCAGGTACGAACAATGTTAGAGACACTGTCAGCAAAGCCGTAGCTCAGTACACTGTCGATGCTCGTCTTCATGCTGTGTTCGAACAGTCTGGTGAGTCTGGTAAGTTGTTTGATTACTCACAATCTGTTAAAACAACTACACAATCTGTGCCAGAACAACAAATCACTGCTTATTTGTCGAAAATTCAGAGAGGAGGTCATATACAGCCCTTTGGTTGTATGATTGCTGTTGATGAGGCCACTTTTCGGGTGATTGCTTACAGCGAAAATGCCCAAGAAATGCTGGGTCTCACTCCGCAATCGGTCCCGAGTCTCAAGAAACCAGAGATACTCACAGTTGGGACCGATGTGAGAACACTCTTTACTCCTTCGAGTGAAGTTTTGCTCGGAAAGGCATTTGGGGCACGCGAAATCACGCTATTGAACCCAATTTGGATTCATTCTAAGAATTCGGGGAAACCGTTTTACGCGATTTTGCATAGGATTGATGTTGGTATTGTAATTGATTTGGAACCTGCAAGGACAGAGGACCCTGCCCTGTCTATTGCAGGGACTGTGCAGTCCCAGAAGCTCGCAGTGCGAGCAATTTCGCATTTGCAATCACTTCCGGGTGGGGATATTAAGCTTTTGTGTGATACAGTGGTTGAGAGTGTGAGAGAGCTTACTCGTTATGATCGAGTTATGGTGTACAAGTTTCATGAGGACGAGCATGGTGAGGTTGTGGCTGAGAGCAGGAGGCCCGATTTGGAACCTTATATTGGGTTGCACTACCCTGCCACTGACATTCCTCAGGCATCAAGATTTTTGTTTAAACAGAACCGGGTTAGGATGATTGTGGACTGTCATGCCACATCAGTTCCGGTAATTCAAGACGAAACGCTTATGCAGCCTTTGTGTTTAGTTGGTTCAACACTAAGGGCACCTCATGGTTGCCATGCCCAATACATGGCTAACATGGGTTCAATTGCTTCTTTAGGCATGGCTGTTATAATTAATGTGAATGATGATGAACCTTCTGGTGGACGAAACTCGACGAGGCTCTGGGGTCTGGTCGTTTGCCATCACACTTCTGCTCGTTGTATTCCTTTCCCCCTCCGTTATGCCTGTGAGTTTCTAATGCAGGCCTTTGGACTCCAATTGAACATGGAATTGCAATTGGCTTCGCAGGTCTCAGAGAAACATGTTTTAAGAACACAAACCCTATTGTGTGATATGCTTCTTCGTGAATCACCTACTGGGATTATTACTCAAAGCCCCAGTATAATGGACCTTGTGAAGTGTGATGGGGCTGCACTCTACTACCAAGGGAAGTACTATCCGTTAGGTGTAACCCCTACTGAAGCCCAGATAAAGGATATCGTGGAGTGGTTGTTGGCTGCTCATGGAGACTCAACTGGTTTGAGCACTGACAGCCTGGCAGAAGCAGGGTACCCTGGTGCAGTTTCACTTGGTGATGCAGTGTGTGGAATGGCTGTTGCTTATATCACTTCAAAAGATTTCTTGTTCTGGTTCCGGTCCAACACGGCAAAAGAGGTCAAGTGGGGTGGTGCCAAACATCACCCAGAGGACAAAGATGATGGGCAGAGGATGCATCCACGTTCTTCATTCAAAGCGTTCTTGGAAGTGGTTAAGAGCCGTAGTTTGCCATGGGAGAATGCTGAAATGGATGCAATTCATTCTTTGCAGCTCATTTTGCGAGATTCATTCAAGGATGCAGAGGGAAGCAATTCTAAGGCTGTCATACATGCCCCACTTGTGGATTTAGAGTTGCAAAGGATGGAGGAGATCAGCTCTGTTGCACGGGAAATGGTTAGGTTGATAGAGACTGCAACAGCTCCCATATTTGCTGTGGACATTGATGGTTGCATAAATGGTTGGAATGCTAAGGTTGCAGAGTTGACAGGATTATCGGTTGCTGAAGCAATGGGAAAATCTTTGGTTCATGATCTTGTTTTTAAGGAATCAGAAGAAATTGTTGACAAGCTTTTATATAATGCTTTGAGAGGTAGTGCTCTTAAATCTAATGTTTATTAATTCTGCTAATTCTAGAAATCTATTAATGTGGTCTTTTCATACACCTTGGAAATGCAATATCCTATTTTTTTAAACTCTGAAAAGCATAAATCTCTTTATGATAGGATAGAATGAAGAATTGGAGAAGTAACATAAATCCCTTTATTTATTGTCGTATATGTATTGTAAAATACATCATACATGAGATATGTATTGAGAACAATACCGATTTACCTATACAGATATTGAATCGTAAGATACATATCGTGATTCATAAGATACTAACAACACTGTTTGAAACTGGTCATTTTATTGGGCTATGGAACAAGGACATTGTTGTAGGTGTTCGGAGTCTCTGAGTGGCCCACCATACCAACTTGGAAGTTAGATGAACTTCCTAGTGTTTGTGTTGGACACCAGAGAAATTGCTAAAATATACATCACCATCCATAGGTTAGAAGGTTTCAATATTTAGTGTTGGTGCTTTGCAATTTTGATAGTGATACACAAAGGCAAAGATGGCTTAGCTTTTAAGTGCATAATATAGGATTTTGGCTGGACTCTTGTATGATTGTATCACAAGGCTTTGGGGCTACTTTATGTATCAATAATAAATATTGATAATTTATATTGCCATTGTTCTATCACAATAATTTAACTGATACAGGTGAAGAAGATAAGAATGTAGAAATTAAATTGAAGACTTCTGGCTCAGAACAACATAAGAAGGCTGTTTTCTTGGTGGTCAATGCTTGCTCTAGCAAGGATTATACAAATAATATAGTTGGTGTATGCTTCGTTGGTCAGGATGTTACTGATCAGAAAGTGGTAATGGACAAGTTCATACACATACAAGGTGATTACAAGGCTATCGTACATAGTCCCAACCCGTTGATCCCACCTATATTTGCCTCAGACGAGAATACCTGTTGCTGTGAGTGGAACAATGCCATGGAAAAGCTCACCGGGTGGACCAGAGGGGAAAACATAGGGAAAATGTTGGTTGGAGATATTTTTGGCAGTTGCTGTCAGCTCAAGAGCCCTGATGCTATGACAAAATTCATGATTGTCTTGCACAATGCAATCGGAGGACAGGATACAGATAAATTTCCATTTGCCTTTTTCGATCGAAATGGAAAATATGTGCAAGCTCTATTGACAGCAAATAAGAGGGTTAGTATGGATGGCCAGATTATTGGAGCCTTCTGTTTCTTGCAGATTCCTAGTCCAGAATTGCAGCAGGCTCTGGAAGTCCATAGACTACAAGAGAATAAATGCTTTGCAAGGATGAAAGAGTTGGCTTACATTTGCCAGGAAATAAAGAATCCATTAAGTGGTATACGCTTTACTAATTTGCTTTTGGAGGCTACGAACTTGACTGAAGATCAGAAACAGTTTCTTGAGACAAGTGCTGCTTGTGAGAAGCAGATGTTAAAGATTATAAGGGATGTCAATCTGGATAGCATTGAAAATGGGTGAGTTTCTCTAAATTTGTTATTCTCAATAATAGATAAAGAGCTCAGATGCATAAATATTGGTTGCTTATTTTCATGTCTTTGTTGGACCTCAAGTACCTCTACGGCTATGTATAACATCTCTAAATCTGGTGTTTACCTAACAACCGTAAAGTATAACCAATCATCATATAAGTTCCCTTTTCTTATCCATGGGTTTTGGCTCATAACTCTGTGCTTTTATTCCTTCTCCATTGGTATAATTTTGCCAGTAAATTTAAATTTCTTAGCCCACAATTGTGTGATGGCTCTTAGAATCACATCTTATTTATCTGTTGATGTGACTTGAATCAATAGTTGTCTTTCTTTAAATGCACTTTACAATGTCCTATTGGAACCAACTCAATGTTTTCATTCCCATTTTGATCTAGAAGTGAACTGCATTCCTAATCTGGAGAAGATTTTGTAATTATTAGTATCAGTCTCTCTTTACTGCAAAGATTGGATAGTTGCCATTAACTGTTTACAGCCTGATTCTACCATTTAAGTCAGCTAGATGAATCTTCTTTTGCAATTTTACTTCTACTTTATGTTATTTATAACAGCCAGTCACCTACACTCAGTCTGTACACACTCACGCACGTCTTATTTGTTTTAACCTTTACATCAAGGATCTATTAACACTGAAATTCACCAAATGCAGATGTTGAGGAAACAAACACCAGTTGCTTGTTTGTATTATATCCAATTCCATTTCTTACTTTTCTCTCATGGGTTTTCCATGATAAATACCATTGTTCAGAGCTTATTGATATGAATATCTCGTTTATCACGTCCAGCATCATTTTACCAATGGGAAATGCATGATCTAATTTTGTAATTGTCTTCTGGTTGTAGTTCGTTGGAGCTAGAGAAGACTGAATTCTTAGTTGGAAGTGTCATAGACGCTGTTGTTAGCCAAGGAATGATATTGCTAGGGAAATGTCACAATGGATCAGGATTTCCGAAGAAATCAAAACATTGGCTGTTTATGGTGATCAAGTGAGAGTTCAACAGGTCTTAGCTGATTTCTTGTTGAGTATGGTGCATTATGCACCTTCTCCAAAGGGTTGGGTAGAGATTCAAGTTCAACCAAGATTGAAGCAAATTTCTGCTGAAATAACTATGGTGCATATTGAATTCAGGTATGCAGCTTCAAATTGCCTACAATATTATTTGTAATGTTACGTTGACTGTTGTTGTAAGGAAATAAATTCTTTGGCAATTGTTATATCACTTTCCCTTCGTGATTTCATGAAACTGCAATTGAGTTTGAATTATGTTTATCTATCATGCCCATCAGAATTGTTGAGACTACTTCATCAGTTCAATTGCAGAGATAAAAAAGAAAAATTAGCATTCACAAAGTCACAAATAAAGAAATAATTTATAAAGAAATAAATAGAATACTTGGAGAAAGAGGTCTTAGACAAAGAATATCTTATATAGAGGAAGCTAATACAGAAAAAGTGACAAACCTGTAGAAAAAATCAATGACGAATAAGAGTAGCAAGACCAGGGGTATCCATGAACAGCAGTGGAGGAGGCCGATTAGGGCTGGAACATCTTCATTAACGACATCTCCAAGAGCAGTGAAACCATGGGGATTGGGTCTTGTAATGGTGGGAGGTGGTAGATCAGGGCTGGAACATCTTCATCAACATCTCCAAGAGTTGGGGGAGGTAGATTGGGGTTGGGAGGTGGATTGTGTCACAGAGAGAGAGAGAGAGAGCATCAACGGTGATGGAGCTGTGAAGGTGGTGTACGGTGGCTCTAGTGGAAGTGTTAAGAGGGACCGAGAGAAAGAGTCACTAGAAATTTTGAGAGGCATTGAATTCTAAGAGAATGAGAGGAACCAAGGTTATCGTGACTCTGTCAATAAAACGGTAAACTGACTGGTTCTTGTGGTTCTCCAATTTACATAACTGGAACCAAACCAATCTATCAAAAAACCGGACCAAACTGCACAGGTTGGACCGGTTTACCAGTTCAACCGTTTTTTTTTAAAACAGCCCTAATAGTGATGTGGCTCGAGATTTGTGGTCTTTGATTCTTCTTGTGGGTTTTCCCTCGGAAATTTGTGGAGCTTCTTCACTCTTGGAGTGTTGTGCTGAAGTGGGGAAAGAATGAAGACTTGGTGTTTAGTGCCTCTGGCATTGATGTCAATTGTGTGGGGAGAGCACAATAGAAGAAGTTTTGATAGGAGGGAAGTAGATTATTATCTTTTTTGTATAGGTGGTTTTCGGGTGCGATTAATCCATTATTGAACCAATTTTTTAGCTTTGTAGAGGTCTTTGAATATGTTTCTGATATATAGTTGATATAGACCTTTCATTTTTGTACACAGGTTACACCCGCTTGGTGCTCCTTTTAGTAAAAAAAAAACTTATCATTTCCTTTTTACACACTCAGTTTATATATAGAGAGAGAGTGATTACAAATCCTAATAAGGAAAACAAAAAAAATCTAAAATGAAAACAAAATCCTAATATTAAATGAAATTCTTAAATAAAACTAAGACTCCTAAAACTAGTAGAACAGCCGGGTTTCCTGATGCAACCAACACCATTTCTACAGGTTGAACAGGCCACCCATAGCCTATGGCTGGCCTGTTGACATAGCCAAAACAGCTCAAGGTTGAGATCGAGGAGAAGGATAAATTATTGGCATGGGCACATAAGGCCACTCTAACCCATTCCGAAATTTGCTGGTTCAAGTATGTTAAAAAATTTGTAGGAAATATTTATGATATTTATGAATTATTGAACTAAAAAAAACCATATAATTGAGTTGCACAAAACAAATAGAAAATTGAATATAATCCGGGTTAAAAAGAAAATGGTGCCATAATGCCTACAAGCCTACAAGACAGTTATTTTCCTGCAACATAGGCTGAACAAATCTCTTGATCACACCCTACAACTCCAAGCAACTAGTGCTAATATTTTTAAAAACTAATGATGTAATTTCCCCTCTTCATCAAGCAACCTTGTCTTGCAACTTTTGACGTTGTTTGATTTTCTGTGTCTTGTTTTCATATCATCAACGAATGACCATATTAGGTCAGAAAATAACAAAAAATAGAAAAGACATACATTCTCAACTATAATGGATGTTCCTTCTAGTTTAGGAACCAGCAATGTTGTGCCCATCATAGGAATTGAACAATCTCACCTTCCAAATCTGTCAATTGTACTAGGATATGAACCAAGCCTCTTTATGCCAGATATAATGTATGTTCAGCAAATTAGCTCAGGCATTGATTCAGCCAGGATCAATGAGTTTCTCTTGTAGGGGGCCAGCCAAGTCTTTGCCATAAGTGACAGGGCAAAATGGAATAAAGAACATCCAGTTTCTCTCAACTTAATTTGCCAAGCACACAACAGAGTTTGGTAGGGGGTTCTCCTTTGTAGCATCTCATTGGCGTTGACCATTCTAGGAGCAACCAAACTTGCAAAAGATTTCAATTTAGAGGGGCCTTAGCCATTAATGTAAAATCACCTTCTTGTCTCTTATGCAGGCGATTTCTTGTTTGGATAGCATCAAGTTTAGCACTGTGCATTGATCCATATGTTGGATGCTTTATTTTCAACATTGATTTGGTGTTTCCTTTGTCAAGAACTGTATACAGATGTCTGAAATCTAACCAATTAGAAATTCCATGAAATGCGAATCCTTTTGTTTAATCCTTGAAATATGAAAAATATGTATTTTTCATATTTTATTGCCTTGGACTTGTCATTTGTTTTTTCAAATTATAACAAGATTTCACTCCTATAATAACTTACACGTTTTCGTTGAAGAAAAAAAAACCTAAGGGAAGGACTGATTTGAGGATGAGGAATAATCCTTTTGTTTTTTGGGGCAATTTATCTGACTTGCTATTAAAGCAACAACTAACTGTCATTTCTTATTATTTCTTTAAGAAGTCATTCTGATTTTTACTTTTTGAGATATTATACTTATCGTGGTGCTAGACACTCTTAATTAATTAATTAACTAAATTTATTTTTATTTTTTTGTTCTGGTGAAGGATTGTCTGCCCTGGTGAAGGTCTTCCTTCTGAACTCGTTCAAGACATGTTTCGTAGCAGTCGATGGGTGACTCAGGAAGGCCTAGGCCTAAGCATGTGCAGGAAGATTTTAAAGCTTATGAATGGTGAAGTTCAATATGTAAGAGAGTCAGAAAGATGCTACTTTCTAGTTATCCTAGAACTTCCCATGCCAAGGAGGGGCTCCACGAGTGTTGACTAGGAGCATTGCGAATCACCGGACTTCAGTATCTTGGCAAATCGAAACGGAGACACCACTTCCTACAATATCTTTGTGGACGGCTTGCATAAAACCAAATACGAGCTCTCACTCGTGCTGAAGCCTCACAAATCTGTTAATGGGTGTTCTCCGATCACACTTTTGGGGCAGTATTAGATCAACCGGAGACTAATATGGTGTAATGCTAAGAGATACTGAGAGCTTGTTATTTGAGATGTTTATAAACTTCCATGGACTAAAGACAGTTGACTGATCTCCAAATGGATTGGGTGGCGTTGTCCCAGCTGTAAGTTTGCATTAAATTTGGACTATAGTTTGTACAATATTTGTATAAATGTCTTCTCAAGTTTTGAAAACAACTGTGTACTATTATTTTCCGATGTACTTAAAAAAAAAAAAAAAAAACTGTGTAATAACTACTGCTTTAGAGATGTACTTTCTTCCCTGAAATGCTGAAATTGTTCCAACCCCGCCCCTCCATCCTCTACCCCTACCTTGGCTCTTTTTCATTGTGGAATAAAGCTGTCTTGCTCTAGTTGTTGAAATTTTTATGTGACAGGATATTCTGATAATCTCTCTCTCTCTCTCTCTCTCACTGATATATTAATAGATTTTATATTATATTTTATATCTTTTCTAGTGGCAAGTCATGGACCAATTGTTACATTGGCTCTGTGTTTGGTGTAGCTTCTTGGGCAGCTTATAAAATTTATTTACAGTATTTATTTTTGAAATTCATTCTAGAGTTTAAATAAGTTTTAAAAAATTAATTATTGAGAAGCACATAAAGGATACTTTTAGCTTTTGTCTATTATTATTAGCTTTTAGCTTGTAAGAAATTGCACCAAACATGTCTATTGTTGTTAATGAATAGCTTGCTCAGAAATACTTCTGTAAACTACTTGCATATATATTGCAGAGTTTGAAGATGATCAGAATTGAGAACCAAACCCTATGCAACAGTTGATTTTAGTTCCTTGAAGGTTTGAGTGGAACTTGCTCCACTGTTTGATGATTCTCCTTTTAAAGCCATCCCATGAATTTGATGCCTACTATCTCTCCCTCCTGTCTCTATCTCTTTATTTATGCATATGGTTTGGATATCATTTTATCTTTAATTGATACCTTTGACGCTTTGACTTATTCCCAGCTTTTCAACATATTCAAAGCTGAATATGTTGACAAAATGATCACTATAAATGGAAAGGTTAAAAAAATGAAAGATTTAAGTTGATATGAGATACACTAGTACAAAAAATATAAATTTATTTAGGTCAAGTTTGGCATGACTAAAAAAAGATAAAAAGTCAAAAAGTCACTATTCTATTTAAGTCACATCATCTTATTTAAGTCACATCACCTTTCTAACACATCACTTCAAACCCAACCCAAATCCAATCCATATTTCATAAAAAGTCAAAAAATGCACTTATTTAGTCTTCCTAAACTTGGTCTTAGTTTAATTGAATATATAATTTTTGACAAAATAAAATAATAAAAAAAGATCAATGTAACTGATTTTAGTTAATTGTGAGATACAAAGTTTGGTTTGTTTTTCAACATATTCAAAGCATCAAAGGTATCATTTAAAGCTAGTTTGATATACATCCTAGTCAAGCATACCATAAAGAGATAGGGGGAATAAAATTCAGGGGATGGCTTTAAATGACATTTTAGGAACAAGTTTATTTCTTGGACCAAGCAGGCAGCCTAATGCAGTGATGGTGACCATCTCATAATCTGTTAGATTTGACTGATTTGACCAGCCAAACATGATTAATTATGGCTCAGTCAGTTGAATTACCAAACATGTCTATTGTTGTTAATGAATAGCTTGCTCAGAAATACTTCTGTAAACTACTTGCATATATATTGCAGAGTTTGAAGATGATCAGAATTGAGAACCAAACCCTATGCAACAGTTGATTTTAGTTCCTTGAAGGTTTGAGTGGAACTTGCTCCACTGTTTGATGATTCTCCTTTTAAAGCCATCCCATGAATTTGATGCCTACTATCTCTCCCTCCTGTCTCTATCTCTTTATTTATGCATATGGTTTGGATATCATTTTATCTTTAATTGATACCTTTGACGCTTTGACTTATTCCCAGCTTTTCAACATATTCAAAGCTGAATATGTTGGCAAAATGATCACTATAAATGGAAAGGTTAAAAAAATGAAAGATTTAAGTTGATATGAGATACACTAGTACAAAAAAATATAAATTTATTTAGGTGAAGTTTGGCATGACTAAAAAAAGATAAAAAGTCAAAAAGTCACTATTCTATTTAAGTCACATCATCTTATTTAAGTCACATTACCTCTCTAACACATCACTTCAAACCCAATCCAAATCCAACCCATATTTCATAAAAAGTCAAAAAGTACACTTATTTAGTCTTCTCAAACTTGGCCTTAGTTTAATTGAATATATAATTTTTGACAAAATAAAATAATAAAAAAAGATCAATGTAACTGATTTTAGTTAATTGTGAGATACAAAGTTTGGTTTGTTTTTCAACATATTCAAAGCATCAAAGGTATCATTTAAAGCTAGTTTGATATACATCCTAGTCAAGCATACCATAAAGAGATAGGGGGAATAAAATTCAGGGGATGGCTTTAAATGACATTTTAGGAACAAGTTTATTTCTTGGACCAAGCAGGCAGCCTAATGCAGTGATGGTGACCATCTCATAATCTGTTAGATTTGACTGATTTGACCAGCCAAACATGATTAATTATGGCTCAGTCAGTTGAATTTATTTTAAAATCATGTTGGAGACCATTACCACATCATTAGTGGTAGCTCTAATTAGAGCTCCCACTCATTTTCCTTTATTTTAAAGTCTCAGTTGACAAGTTAGTATTTTAATTAAAAAGTAAAAAAATTATTAAAAAAAATCAAAAAGCCTATAATTTATACCAAAAATCAAAGATTTCCTTTTCTTTCTACTTTTTGTACATCTTTTCGTAAAAAATTAAAAAGTCACCTTAAACATAGTAGTTTTTTTTTATCTTATATTTTAGCCAAAGAATCAAAAGTTACTAAGATAGCATATTTCCAAACGAGGCCTTAGAAAGTTATTGATAATCTATGAGTAAATTCTAAGAACTCTTATTTATAATTTTTTCTTGATTTATCTAAATTATTTTTATTGCGTAAATTATAAGAATGAACCACAACGAACGGTTTGACATAGGCCCTCAAAATATAAACAAAAAAAAAATTAATTATTTAAAAATTTTATTTACAAATACTATAATAGTTCAAGTCCTATCTAAGATTTTTTGAATCAATAAGTCTTATTTAATAAAACTGAGAATATTATTAGCTTTTTCTAATTTTTAAAACTAAGAACATTATCAATTTTGAATAGTAATGTTCTAGATAATTGTTTCACTAACTCATAAAAAAAATGAGCATGAGATTAAACGTTTTTACCTTTCTCTTTATTGATTTGATTCAATTATTCAATAAAACCAATAATATTATCAGTTTTTTCCAGTTTTAAAACTGAGAACATTATCAATTTTTTCATTTTTAAAAGTTTTTAGTTTTTTCAAAAAAAAAAAATATTCACTGTGTTTGGTTTGAGTTTTCTGGATTAAGTTTTTTGAAAACTGACTTTTTTGGTTTTTGTGTTTTTTTGTTTTTAGTGAATATTTTTTAAATTTTAAACATTTTTTTTACTTTTTTAGATGCACCTTACTTAGATGTATCTAAAAAGTAAAAAATTTGTGAAAAAATATTTTAAAAAATTAATAAATACATAAAAATATAAAAAATGTACTGAATTCTTGTATTTTTTATATTTTTGGTATTTAATGAATTTTTAAAAGATTTTTTTTTACAATTGTTTTACTTTTTATATGTATTTATGTTAGGTGTGTCTAAAAAGTAAAAAAATTACTTAAAATATTAAAAAAAATTCAGTAAAAACAAAAAAACATGGAAAATAAGAGAGTAGAATTTTTTGAAAGTGTTTTGGAAAACTAGAAACCAGGCAAGGTGATAGTTTTTTTCTTGACATAATTTTTTTTTTAGGTTTTTTTAATTTGAAAGTTGATATTTTAAAGTTTTGAAAACCAAAATAAACATCAAATCATCATATTCTTTTATAGATAATCATAAACGATGAACAATCATTATTTGAAGGGCAATTCAAACTATTAAAAATTTAATGGGACTTGAAGGTCAAAAAAATCTTAATTAAGACATAGTTCATAAATTAAGACTTGCGTGTAAATGTTCCATAAATAAATAATAACCAAAGCAACTTATAGGCAACAAACAACACTTATATAGCCTTGTTTGAGATGTGGATTAACTTTTTGATTTTTTGATTTTTTTACTTTTGCTTGAGATTAAAAAGTCTCGTTTGGGATGAACTTTTTACCTTTTTTGACTTTGTGAGAGAAAAAATAAAATGACTATGATTTGAACGTGATATTTTATCTTATTAATTTTTTAACTTATTTTATCTTTTTGCGAATAAAATAGCCAAAAAATCTTATGTCAAACAAAGTCATATATAGCTCTCTTTTGGGAAATGGGTTATAATCCATTTCCCAGATTATAACTCACTTCCATCTCTTACAAAAAATTGATTATAATCAGGTTTTAACCAAAAAACTAATTATAACAATCTTTCCAAAATAGCCAATAGTGATGCCAGAAAACTAAAAAATAGAAAAGACCTCATTTGGCATGCGAGTGTTTTAGTCAAATACTTTCAAAAAAAATCAAAAAGCCTATAACTTATACTAAAAAGTCAAAGATTCATTTTTCTCTCTACTTTTTATACATCTTTTTGTAAAAAATCAAAAAGTCATTCCAAACATATTAATTTTTTTATTTCATATTTTAATTAAAAAGTCAAAAAATTATTAAAAGAATGCGTTCCAAAACAAAAAGAACACATTTTGTAGAAATATCCATATATTGATCTATTTTGTCAATACAGTTAAAAGTTAATTTTTTAACTTTTTAAATCACATCATATTTCAATTTTTTTTATATTAAAAAAAAAGAAAAAAAAAAATTAAAAAACCAACTTTTAATCTACTCTCAAAAATATTATAAGTTAGATGGTTGGATGGACAAAAACAGATTAAAAAATTAATAAATAAAAATGTATTTTGTACAAGATAACACAAGATAAGATGCACAATGGAAATTTGTCGTCTGCCCAACTTTTATTAATCTAATCTGTTCCCAGTTTGATGAGTTTTTAGGTCAACTTGAGAGCTTTTAGATTATGAGTTTACATGACTGATGAATGAAGATAAGGATGTCCAATGTCCTTTGATTTAGACCTTTTCTGAGAAGACCAACAGGACTCATCCTAAACAGTTGATTAATTTCACAATTATTTATTTCCCTAGTAGATACTAATAATACAATAATAGTGCTTGGTTTGAATTTTTTAAAAACATTTTTTAAAATTCTATTTTCTTATTTTTTTAATTTTTTTTACTCATTTTTTTTAATATTTTAAGAATTTTTTTAAAAATTTTTAGATGCATCTAACATAAATACACTT